TTGAGCTGCCACTTCTGAATCGGCCTTAATAATATCGAGAAGTGGTCAAAAAGTGAACTCCGTCCACTTCCCCCGCACCAAGTCGATTTCGAAAAGTGGTGTTTAACAACTTCCTGCGAGATGAAAGCAGACTTTCTTCTGACCAACATGAAAGAAAAAGTATGTGGGGTCACATCATCGGCCACGGTGACTTTCTGAAAGCAACAAGCGTGAAACAGCACGTCATCAAAATTGTTCCCCCAGTTTTCATGTGAACTCCGTCCACAGTGCTTATTTTGGCACCAAAATCGCTAAAATAGCTTTAATAACACGACCCGACTCGGGAATTGTGCATCTTTCTGTTCTCCATCCGCCACCACCAAAATCAGCTGGCTGGTGTTGCGCGAAGGGAGTCCAAGTGGAATTTAGTCTTCGATTCCGCTGCGAATGTTTTTTAAAACGAACTCCGTCCACCCCCTTTTCTCGAAAACCAATGTTCCAAAAGTGCCCCGATTTCTTCATAAGTTAGGTTTTAGTGGCCCCTTTGATAAGCGCTTGGTCGGAAGAATCGTATCTCAGCCTACACTGTTATTCCTGGGTGTTCAATAACTAAGCGCCTTAAGGCGTTTGCCTCAAAAACCTAGACGCCTTGATGCGCTTAGTTACTCAACGCCTAAGGCGTTTTGTTACTCAACGCCTAAGGCGTTGAATTACAAGACACCTTTGCTTGGCCTGTACCCACCACAACAGCAGTGGGAGTACTAATGCAATACAAGCTGCCTCTTTCCATTGCCTCAAGGCGTCTAACTACTATACGCCTTCCAAGGCGTTTAACTGCTAGACACCTTGGAGGTGTGCAGAGGCTGAACAGCTTGACTGTCTTTGAATACAGCCATGCCATCCCTTGTTTGAACCAAGGTGTTTAGCAGCTACGCACCTTTGAAGGTGTCTTACCATTAAACGCCTTGCAAGGCGCGCAGCAGTTAAACACCTTGACACAATGGGCCAGGGCAGCCTGCACTGCTAATGTATGCATGGAGATTTGTCCATATTTTTCCATTTGTTTTAATAAGCTACACATACCTGTCAAAAATTAGTTTATGATGCTGAGTTGTCAATATCCAACTAAGGATGGAGACGGCTGATGTCAATACGTGTGACCAAACCGCAGAATGTTTTTGTCAATGAATAGCAGTCATCACTTACTATTGTCCTAAAATTAACTTGAGTCTTATTGTTGGTTGCAAAGTAAATTAACACAAAGGCGGCAATATAAATTTGGCCTTGAAGGAAAGAAGCACAAATATAAGTCCTTTTCTCCATTGTGAAGAATCCACAATGGACCAGGCGCTGGTGAGGTTGGGCTGCCCCAGTAGATGGAGACATTTTCAGAGTTTAGAGGCGTGTCAACATATGTGACGCACTGTCACATCCCCTTCGTTCGATTCGATTCATGATTTCACTGCCACGAAGCGCTCAAATTCGTGTGCAACAGTCTGAAAACGAAATAAACCGAGCCAAGAAGCACACACGAACTCGCACGTTAACATTTGCGACGCAACAAACAAAATGCTGCCAACCTATGAAATGAAAAGAACGTCTGTTTTTTTTTTTCGTTCTTGTCTTTTCATTTCATAGGTTGGCAGCATTTTGTTTGTTGCGTCGCAAATGTTAACGTGCGAGTTCGTGTGTGCTTCTTGGCTCGGTTTATTTCGTTTTCAGACTGTTGCACACGAATTTGAGCGCTTCGTGGCAGTGAAATCATGAATCGAATCGAACGAAGGGGGATGTGACAGTGCGTCACATATGTTGACACGCCTCTAAACTCTGAAAATGTCTCCATCTACTGGGGCAGCCCAACCTCACCAGCGCCTGGTCCATTGTGGATTCTTCACAATGGAGAAAAGGACTTATATTTGTGCTTCTTTCCTTCAAGGCCAAATTTATATTGCCGCCTTTGTGTTAATTTACTTTGCAACCAACAATAAGACTCAAGTTAATTTTAGGTCAATATTAAGTGATGACTGCTGAGCGATTCTCACGTTTCGGGGTAGTTTTGGCGTCTCTGATTTGCCGAAAGTGAAAAATATCCAATTAAGTTTTTCTGATTATTGGGGTCCTGGATGATACTAGAGTTATGGCAATGGTATTTATAGTAAAGACCTTGTACTACCTTCCTAAAAACATGAGCCATAAGGTATTCCCACACGTTTTAGTGGGTGTTTTGATCACGGAAATTACGTTATCACGGAAGTTACAAAGTGTGAAAATCGGCTTTAACGGCTGACTCGGGCTTGCTGTGGCTTAAAAGTCGTTCCAGGGTCAAATGATACTCTAAGCCCGACATTTCAGCGGAAAATTTTTTCACCTAGTACTGCTGCAACATTGGGTAAAGGGTGCCACGGAAGTTACAGGTGATTGTTGATACACGCCATTTTATAATGCTCTAGCCCGCTTTGAGACCGTGTACAGCATCTTAGATTTCCGTGACCCATGCAATTATATCCCAGGGACTCCACTTTGATGGCTTGTGTCATGGAAAGTTAAAAGTTTGGCTTGGGGAGAAGTCCAGAGCTGCCTTTTCGAAATTAGTGTAGTGAAATTGAATTCACGGTGGACATTTTTCGTTGCAGCATAAGTACCTTTGAAAGAAGTCTGGCGCATTGGTCTTCGGTTGAAATTAGCTCGAGACATGCCAAGCTTCGAATCCCCATCGACAGTTGGCAGCATTTTCGAACCACACCGCCACACTGGGAGCGGAAAGTTCGAGTATGTTCTCTTTGGACAATCACGGAAGTTACATTTAGGGTATTCCAAACGCTACGTAGACCAATCCAACGCACGTGAACTTTTCGAAATGTGTGCGTTTAGTGGGCAATGGCCCTCCCTAACATCAGAAACAAACCCCATGTCGATATCTGCGCTCGTTTGGGCACAGGAGTCAGAAGAAACGAAACTACCCCGTAACGTGAGAATCGTTCTGCTATTTGTTGACAAAAACATTCTGTGGTTTGGTCACACGTATTGACATCAGCCGTCTCCATCCTTAGTTGGATATTGACAACTCAGCATCATAAACTAATTTTTGACAGGTATGTGTAGTTTATTTAAACAAATGGAAAAATATGGACAAATCTCCACGCTTACATTAGCAGTGCAGGCTGCCCTAGCCCATTGTCTCAAGGTGTTTAACTGCTGCGCGCCTTGCAAGGCGTTTAATGGTGCACCTCAAAGGTGCGTCTGCTAAGCCTGTAAGACAACCTTGCAAAGGTGCAGCTTTAGCTTGCTTAGTACGCCTTGAGGCAATGGAAAGAGGCAGCTTGTATTGCATTAGTACTCCCACTGCTGTTGTGGTGGGTACAGGCCAAGCAAAGGTGTCTTGTAATTCAACGCCTTAGGCGTTGAGTAACAAAACGCCTTAGGCGTTGAGTAACTAAGCGCATCAAGGCGTCTAGGTTTTTGAGGCAAACGCCTTAAGGCGCTTAGTTATTGAACACCCAGGAATAACAGTGTAGCGACCAGTGCGTGGCGAGATACAGTGGTTGTAAACGGTACAAGAAATGAACTCCGTCCACCCCTTTTCAAACTGCATATTTCAGCATAAAAATCAGGTTGTCCCGTAACAAGATTGATCAGAATGAATTGTGTCGTCACTTATATGCACTTAATAGGCACCACAGTTCCTCAGACCTGCATTTAAATCGTTTTTTTTTAAGGGGAAATGGCGAACATAACCTCAAATTGCTGTACGGCGCATGGCACCCATACACCTATGGTTGCCGGTTTGCCCGGCGCTTCTCTCTGTTCTGTTCAGCGCTGTGCTGTGCACTTAGCTGGGGATCATTTTACTTTCTTCCACTTCTGTTTTGACCACTCTTTGGCATAATCTACGACCGTTACCTAGCCTTAGAACTTGAAAACACAGCAATTTGAAATTTGATTATGAACTATAAATTTCTCCCAATCTTTTTTGGGCTGTCATTTCTAAACCCGTGGGCCGATTTCGCGGAGGCTACGTATTTTTACCCTTCTAGTAGTCCCATATCGCCTCCGTGCAAAAAGAAATTTTTTCGGGAACCTTTTATTTCAAAAGTATCCTCGGGCTAAAATGACAACCTACGCTGATAATCACCCTCGAGTGTGGAGTGTACTGGCAGGCAAGCTCCAGTGGGGCGTGTACATGACAGGCTGGCTCCAGGTGGAGTGTACTTGCGGGCATGCTTCAACCTGAAGCATGCTGTGTACACACTTGAGTTTGTAGAGCACGGGTTTTCCAGAAAACGGCATGCTTGTTTCTGGTGTACTTAAGGGCTCACTGGTTCACATTTCCTCCGCGATGGTTGAGGTTAAGACGGTATCGGAAGGCTTGAAGCTTGTTTCTAATTCTCAAAGCTCAAACAGAACTGACTGTCGTTTGCGAGCGTGCTCGTCGTTTTGTTTCGAGATCGGGACTGTTCTAGTCTAAATAATCGCTGGGGGATGTACTTGGCGAGTCACAGGGGAAACGAAGCAAGCGTGTTTTTTTTTTCCTTTTGGGAACATTCATGATGAATTTGTAGACCGTGTTGTGGAAACCCAAGGAATCATCGTGTCAACTTACGAAAGAAATCTTCTGTTTCTCTTTGCATATTGAAAAGCCTATGAATGAATGCGCACTTCATACTCAAACCGTCTTTTGCTGCTCTGCGCCATACTTTCACCCTGTTCAAAGTCTGTACTTCATTATACTCCGAAACGAAGCATGAATCGGCTTCTTCATTCATTTTTCAATATTGTGGAGCTTGCCAATAAACTACTCTGAAAGAAACTACGCATGAATAAGTCGATATCCGGTAGAAAAGGACGCCCTCTTTACCGAAGAATTGACTCTGCCCGGTAGTGTAGAGCTTCCCAGAAAAAAGAATGCTTGCGGGTCTCAAGCAACTGAAAGCTCAAAGAAGCAGCTCCAGAAGTTCCAATAAGGTCGGCAAGTAGTGTAATTTTAGACTCATCTTTTTTGTCATCAGACTTAGACCTCTGCGTAAAGTGAGTCACACGGTTTATTTTGGCCGTAGCAGAGTGTATCAGCACAGAAATGTACCGTTACAATGCTTGCGCACTTCAAAGTAAAACAGCTTCTCATCACAGAAGAGAGCCCTGCGCGGCGACGAGAAGCTCCAGCAAGTTCTTCCCAGCAAGGAGGGCGAACTCTTCGACCTGAGGGAACTGCTTGGCCGAGAGTGTTGTGATGTTCTCCTCCTGGTCGTCGACTGCTTCCGCAAGGAGGGTTGTGAATGCGGCGCGCAAAGCCTGGCGCACGGTCTTGTTGGACGCGGACGCTTTGGCTGCCGCTCCCAACGAGGCTCTGTACGCAGCGCGGTACTTGGAGTTGACTTCCACGACCCGGTTCTCCCACTGCCTGAGGAGGGCCATCTTGTTCTTGCGAAGCTGCTGGACTGGGCCTTCGGCGGTCGCTGCAGCACCCTAAACATCAAACATCGTGATAATGCTGTGTGGTCATGGCGTTTTCACGCTCACCTGGGATGAAGAAGGGTACGAAGGGGACCCTCAAAGGAGGATTCTGAAGGAACCTTGGGTGTAAACCATTTTAAGGGCCAATAGTAAAATAAAAGTCAGTTTGAAAATAGTCAAAATAACCCCTTTCCAGCAGCCTGGCTCGATCGCCAAAGAAATTTCCAATAGATATTTGGATAAGATGCTTTAATGCTGTCGCTTGACTCAGCCTTAGTCTAGTTTAAGTGTGTTGCCCCTTTAGACTTGAAATTTGCTAGTAAGCGAGAATTACCGTTGCTTTTGCGCGTTGTTGCAGCAAAGAGACATACTGCTGGACGAGCTGCTTGGCCTCCTGCCCCTGTTGCTTGTTGTACTTATCCACCTGCACGTCCACCTTCGCCAAGCTCTTGTTCAGCTGGGAGAAGGCGTTGGTGAGGGCAGTCCTGCTCTGTGCAGAGCTCTGCTTCTTTAGGAGAGATCTCTGCAGAGCCAGGACTCGCGTGCGTTGTCCGGCAAGCACTTTGGTCCACTGACTGGCGAATTTGCCCGGCAGTGCCGCACCAGAAGCTTGGACCTTCTTGACAATGGCAGTGTAGTCAGTTTTCTTCTGTAAGGATTCAGGAGACATCACAGTTTTTTGTACACACAAAATTTTTATGCAAATTTTGAGCGAAAAACTGCATGTTTTCCCCCATTTTTGTGCAAAATTGCGTACAAATTTGAACGAAAAGTTCGTGTGCACCATAAAGGGTGATGGCTCTTAGAAAATTCGTGCAAAACCAGTTAGTGTGCACGCAGTACTTGCTGGGTACAAAGCATGTGCGCGGCATGTGTGCAGTACTTATTGCACACAACGTCTACAGTTCAGCTGACAGGGTGCCTGTGTTTTCTGTATCAAACATGATAATGGTAACTTGCGCAAATATGAAAAGATAAAAAGTGTAAATGCATTCAGAAGCGGCACTCTCCGCTAGAAAAAAGGTTGCCTCACCTTCTGCTGTCCCTCCACGTGCGCCAGGCAGACAGCTGCGGCAAAGGCGACCACGACCGCCAGGCGAGCCATGTTGTCGGTGAATGAAGCCTTGGTCACGACGCCCACTTTAAATACGGATCAACAACGATCACTCTTCCGAAAGAATGGGGGAAGATTGTTTGGTGGAACCGGCGAATCGGCCTCTTGATTTTTTCAACTTTTTGTTTACGAAATATTAAATAGAAAGAGGTAAATCGTTGGCCAAAATAGTGTGTGAAACACATTTTCGCAGAAGGCTGCCGTCACTGATAGCCAACGAATGTGACGTCATATTCGTTCGAATATGAATTTTGTCACGTTCGTTACAATATGATGCCACATTCGTTTGAATGTTGATCCACGTTCAAACGAATATTGAGTCATATTCAAACGAACGTGACAAAATTCACACTGCAACGAATACGACGTCACATTCGTTGGCTACCAGTGGTTGCACAAGTTATTTCAAATAGAAATAGACACATTTCCGCACGCCTATTTTTAGTCACTTAACAAAAATGCGATGTGATGTCTACTCTGTGATGCATCTTCGAGACAGACTTTACCACAACTGACTAACTACTTGAGCTCGTCAAGTTCAGCACTTTTTTTAAGCTAAACTCGACATTGTCGCATGTAACACTCTCATCCCAGGAGCATGACATGACGTTGTAACGAGCGTGGCAACATGTCACGCTGTTTTACGCTCGTTTGCAAGCCAATCTGCCATAAACCAGCGTCACACAATGCTAAGAGAGCGTGAGATTTTGTCACGCTCATTTCAGCATGTCCTGCTCCTGGAATGAGAGTGTAAATGGCAGTGTATGTCGTTTCGCCCCCCAGCTATATAAGGGACAGGGCGCCTTGGCTCGCCTAGCATTAACGGACACCATGGCACGTATCACACTCGTGCTCGTCCTGGCCGCCACGGCCGCCACCTGCTGCGTCGAGGTGACGTACACGAGTCATTGTAGTTCTTCGTAATGCTACGTGTCCATTGTGAAAATCTTGGGTTTCACATGACGACAGTTTCTAACCTATATTGCCTTACAAGAATGTCATGAAACCAGATGGTGACATTGTTGTCATGTCATCGTGCACTAAGCTTTGATATATCATCAATCTATGATGAAATTGCAATCTTTTTAAGAGACATCTCCTACTAATGTGCCCCGAAGTGTCCGTTTCAGGGGCTTGAATAACATGTCACTTCTGAAAACAGAATGGCCGAAAGGTCATGAAAGAAAGTCCGCGCTGGATATGACTTGGCATGACCATACTTTTACCAAGATCGTTACGACAGCAATGGGGGGCGATGCTTTCACTTTTGATTGGGCGTTCCTTCAGGCCAAAACAGACTACACTGCTCGACTGAAGGCCGTTCAAACGGCTGGAGCGGCTCTCCAGGTGCAATTCAGCAAGCAGTGGACCGATGTACTGAACGGACAGCGGCAGAGAGTTGTCGCCTTGGTGACGAAACTTGTAAATCAACAAAAGTCACCGGAGGCAAAGACTGCTATGTCTAGTCTGGCCACCAAGATTTTCCAGAACCTGACGACCGTCAACTCCCAAGCAGATACTTTGAAGAAAGAGCAGGGAAAGGAGATCAACCGGCTTGTTCAGCAGTATGTTACATTGCTGAGCCAACGGATCACTGCCACGGTAAGATTTTCATGTCAGTAGTGACATACGAATCCTCCGAATTAAATCGAATCATGATAGCATCGATTCGGATCGATTTTGAAGCAACAGGTAATCAGGTTTAGGTGTGTGAGCATGCCATGTATACAGCAAATACTGTGTACACGCTATTTGTGCAGCAAATACAGTGTGCAGCGCATGCCATCATGTCATTGTCATGTATACTATGCCTATGATCACGTGTAGGATAGTTTATTAAAGTATGCATGAGCATGTACCCAGCAATTACTGCATAGTTTGCAAGTATTTGCTGTATACATGGCTATGCACCAGGGACCCTTAACTTTACATTTAACTAACACTGCTTTCATAACGTAACATAAAACAATGTTCGCTAAAGGTTAAGGGTACGGACTTATGAAAGTACTTGCAAAAGTATATCCACACAAATTCGACACATAAAAAAATAACCTACCCTTTTGAGAAGATGTTAGAAGTTAAGGGTAGTAACTTTAACTCTTATGATAACGTTATGATGCCCTCGAGGTAAGTTAAGGATCCCTGCTATGCACACTGTATTTGATGCATACATAGCACACTGTGGCAAAAAGCTACGGAATATTCTGTAAACAGCTTGTGGTAATTCTCCGTAGCCCCCTTATCAATATTCTCCGTAGGCTCTTACAGTATTTTCTGTAGGACCGCACAGTATTCTCCGTAGGACCTTACAGTGATCTCCGTAGGACTATACAGTCTTCCAGGTCCTACGGAGAAGACTGTGCGGACTTACAGAGAATACTGTGCGGCCCTACGGAGAATACTGTAAGAGCCTACGGAGAATATTGATAAGAGGGCTACGGAGAATTCTGGCAAAAAAATTAACAGAATTTTCCGTACCTTTTTGCCACAGTGCATGTTTAATGTATTTGCTGCATATAAAGCATATCTACACTATTTGCTGTTCATAAACTCTGTACATATATATTAGACGTGTACAGAGTATATGCCATGTAGCAGCATTTACTAACCTCAACATGATCACAACAGGCATGGACACATGTACATGAACTGCAAACCATGTGTACAGTTCAGCTGACAAAGTACAGTCGCCCCTGAAGAGTCTATTCGGAGTTGTGCTTGTGCGTTCCAGGGAGCCGCGGCTACCGACGAGGTCCCCATTCAGAACCTGCGAAAGCGCAAGAGTACTTGGCTGGCGCTGTGGGAGAACCGGGTCATGGACATCAACGCTCTGTACCGCGCGTCGTACCGGGACGTTTTCTCGGCGGCCTCCAAGGCGGCTGCCTCCAAGCCGGCCGTGCGGCAGGCCCTCCGCGCCGCTTTCGTGGACATCCTCGGGGAAGCGGTCGTCGGCCAGGAGGAGAACATCACGCTGCTCACGGCCAAGCAGTTCCCGCTGGTGGAGAAGTTTGCTCTGCTTGCGGGGAGAGTTCTCCTCGAGCTGCTCGTGACGGCGCAGGGCGCTGTGTTGTGAGCGTCATCTGCACACTCTGAAAACCTGACTGGCTTTTCAAACAAGAGCAGCTTGTTGTAGCAAAGCATTTTGAGCATACGCATACATACTGTTACAAGGTAAAAATGTCATCATGCACATACCAATTTTTCTGTAATTTTAACTACTCAGAAATATTGTAGTTTCATTGTGGTTTAACTGTGCTAAAAGTACCAGTTATTTCGGAAAACTATAGTTTTTGGGTATAAAAGTAAGAGTAAACAGTAGTTATGCCACTGCATTTTGTAAAGTACAGTTTGAACTATAGTTTCACTGCAGATCCTTCCGACCGGACGCATGTAACTAACTTAACAGTTTGTACGTTACGTATGCTCAGAATACTTGGTCAGGTTTCCAGCATGCAGCGAACAGAACCGAAACGGGGAACAGCAAATTAAGTTGTTCTTTTATATATCGTACAGCTGGATCCCAATTTAATAAATTTGATCGAAATGGGGCGTTATATTATTAATTTAAAAAAAAACGTCTCTTACAAGTGTGAAGTGTCTCTGCAATCAACCAGAACCCATTAAAATATCACTGTTAAAAAAATCCATCTTAATTTTAAGAAACTTTTTTATGAAGCAGTTTACAAAGACTCTTTGGTAGTAAAAGTAATAAACTTTTTCTTCCTAAAAGTGAGAACCAAATTTGAAAAGTAATAATCTGTTCCTTAAAAGTTGTTTTTGCATTTGAGAAGAATTTAACATAGAGTAGTGAAAAATTGAAAGCCTTATGTTCGTTACGAGTTACACGTGGTAGTAGTCGATTTCACTGCCAAAATTGCTTGGAAGCGTGGTTGGAACTCGGTCTCGAACCCGGAATTCCGGATTACTGCACTGCGACGCTACCAACTGCGCCACGGGTGAGCTCTGCGAGGCGGGCTCTAGGATGTGGATGACTCCAAGCCTCTCGGCGGAGACTCCGCTAGACAGCGGAAGCGCTCATCCAAGGGCCTCCAAACACGACTTCACATGACGAAGATCATCCGAATTGAACACTGCTCGGCTCCTATGGGTCCATAATGAGTGTGCTGCGGGTCAAAATGACCGTTAGGACCTTAGCAACACGCTCGCAAAAAATCACGCTTTTTATATCTTTTGCCGTTTTTTTTTCGGCAACGGCTATGACTAGCTAGGATGGAGATTTGGAGGGGTCGAAATCGGAAAACAAACGACTTAGTCACTTGTGGCGACGTCATTGCAAATCAAACTGCACAACACTCGATGCAAAGACTTTCATCGCAGTGCCGGGGACTAGAATTACCTTTGAAATGCCACCGAAGCCTCGACGCTGTGGGTATTATTAGCAGCTAAAACGTTCACCTTAAAAAACTGAAAATGTATGCACACTTCCGATGCGAGCTCCTACGCCTGGGCATGGATTGTGAGTGGGGCAGTGGTGCGCGTGCCCGCCAATTTGAAAACGAGTTCCGTCGTCGAGAGAGAGAGAGAGAGAGAGAGAGAGAGAGAGAGGGAGAGAGGCGCACCTCCTCCGACGCCGACCCGAGAGATACTAACCAACTCTTTACTTAGTTGTACACGCTATTCAAGATTCCCAGGATTCCTGAAGTAAGGATTTTGGAACACTTCCCTTTGTTTTTGGAAAGGCATGGAAATTATGCCCTTAACGTGAACGATTCACGCCCCCGGAACGGTTTGAATCTTTTTATATCCTTGGGAAGGGCGTGAATTGGTGCAGGAATTCCGGGCAAAATTTTAATGCCCTAAGCATTACCCTATGCGCCCTTGAAGAGCGTGAAAGACCTTTGTGCCCTAAAGGGCGTAGTCATTATGCCAGTGTACTGCATTTGTGTCGTCCACGTACGAGGCTGATCCTCAACGTGGAATGCTCGCCTGGGCTGTTCGCAGCGATTAGCATAATCGCATCAGAGAGATAGATAAGCGTCGCCTCCTCGCAGCGAATTACGTCTCCCGACGGGAAAATGGGCCGCAGAGGCGAGAGCGAAAACCATCATGGGTTGTGTGGCACGGTGGCCTCTTAACCCACCGCCTCGGCTCACGGCTCTCTGGTTCGCTTCCTCAGCACTACGAGATTTCTTGTCACAACATTTTAGAACACCCTCCACGAACGAACGTAGGCATTCTGGACTCGGAATATGCTAATTTGAAAGCGAAAGAATGGAGTAACTTGAATTATCATTATGTCGAGTTATTTTTCTTTTGTGACCCAGAATGCTTTACACCACTTCACCAAATCGTTTGATTCAATTCTCAGCAGTTCAGGAGAAAATTCACCCCTTCACTCCTACGGAGAAATATTTCGTGGCCACTCGATATATAATATTGACGGTTCTCTTGTCAAAGGGGCAAAACTAAACTTACGCTCAATGTTTATATACAATTTTGTACGTTGTGCTGCATGTTTTAAACCCGTGTACCTTTTATGCATTTTTATGCAAATTCAACGTAAGCACAAAACGGTGCAAGTTTGACGTACAATATTCTACTTAAACATTTAATCTGCAGTTTTGGTCCAAAGTCAGGAAATTGGAGGTATCTCAAAGTTCGTTCTCACGTTCCTCACAATTCCGCCAAGAAAAAAAAAGAAACACAAAAAAGGGGATAAGTTGTATTTTTATGAATCTAACGTAAAGAGTCAACTCCTCCGTTCTTTTTTAACACTATAGAAATAAAGAGGTGACTCTAAAAATGTACCAGACATACAGACAACGCAGATATCCGCTCCACTTGAATTTTATTCAAAGTCCACCTCGTTTGGAGAACCAAGTCCGAAGTCCGAAGTCCATATCAATGTACCGATTTACGGTGTGATCGTGAAAATATTCACAATTATTACTCGTTCCTTTTGACTAATACACATCTGCATCATTCATTTATTAAACTTAAGTTTTCCCTGAAACAGTTTATCGTTTTTTCCAGAAAAATTACTTAAAATTGAGATTGCCCCTCCCTCCGCTTCATGGGTCGGAGTACGAGAGGTGAAAAAACTTGTCATGTCCTGGCCGCACGTTCCTCCTAAACTGATCGGCCGATTAAGCCGAGATCAGCGAGCAGTCTTCGCGACGCACGAGACTGCGTCCATGCAGCCTCTATAATTGGTCCACTGGCCTTGGTACGCCGGGCAGTCCTCCACACGACTGACTCCGGCACTGTTAGTGCAGTGCTCCGCGAGCGGCGCACCGGGGACCCTCGACCTCGCAGCTGCTAGCAGTGCATCGGCAGAAGCAGGTGAAGGAAGAGTCCCTGTGGGTCACTGCCTCCATGCGTCTCCATATGGCGGACAGCAGTGCTTCTTAATGTTTGTGCCGTGACCTCAACGAAATCTGCGCTGAGAAAGTGAATCAAAAGTAGGAGGCGAGGCGGTTAAGGGTTTCTTGGTAACAATGCCAATTCAAGTGTGTGGACCGAGGGGGAAACGACTGAGAAATTTTGTGTACATCGGATAGGGATTACCCCGGATAACTCGCGGATTACCTCCGGATTACATCGAGAAATTGGCAGAATTACCAATGGATTACGCCGGATTGCCCCAGATTTCCTCAGAATTTCCCCGGATCACCTCAGAATTTCTCCGGATTACTTCAAAATTTCTGGTTATTCGGATTGCGGATTACTAATTTGCTGTACGTCGGATAACCGAAGTCGTTTCCCCCTCATTGTGGATAGTCTCACACTATTTGGCGTGAACCACAATCACTGAAAATCGAATAGTGATACATCTCACCCTCTGAGGGGTGAGACATAACTGTCTCACCGAAAAACGGTGATACTAAAATGTATCACCGAAAAATAGTCGTACACGAATGTATCACCGAAAAAGGGGGATACTTCCCCAGGCAAACCAGGGCCAATCTCCCCGATGTCTCATCCTTTTTTCGGTGATACATTTGTGTACGACCTTTTTTTCGGTGATACATGCGTGTACGACCGGTTTTTCGGTGATACATTCGTGTACGACCTATTTTTCGGTGATACATTTTGTATCGCCGAAAATTGGTGAGATGTCTCACCCTTTGAATTACAGTGAATGTCTCTTGCTTACAAGTGTGAACCACGTTTGTCCAACGCTTGCAAGTGTGAGGACTAATGTCTCACAGTTGCAGGCGTGAGACTCGGTTTGTCTTGCAAGCGGGGGCCCGTGGCATACTGGAACCACAGGCAGAGAGAGTGGGGCAAACGTGTCTCACACTTTTGCCAGCGTGCTCCCGTGCTCAGAAGAAACGGTAGCTCAAACTTGTTAGCGTGACACATAGTGGTTCACGCCAAACAGTATGGAGACTGTATCGCACTTGGATCGGCAGTCTGTTTCTTAGAAGCGGCTGCACATGAGGAATGGTTGGCAATGAATTGTGTGGCAACCTCCCCCTCAATCCTACAATAAGAGCGCAATGGGACGAACAGTTAGCTTTTTTGGTCCCAGCAAGCACAGCCTTGGTATCAAACGGGATAAGGCTTTTTTAGCAGATGATGCGTTTATGTTCACAGCTAGACGCAAAAATAGAAATTATAATTATCAATCTACACCCTAAATGTTTTTGTACAAATTTTGTACGAGACATCACAGCTTTTAGGCACACGAACTTTTCGTAAAAATTTGTACGCGGTTTCGTACAAAAACTAGGAAATATGTGCAGTGCTCTAAAAAAGGGGGGGGGGTGTTAAAGCGGCAGTGAACAAGAAACATCTCGTGTATAGGCTGCCACTGAACGTGTTTTCAAAGATTTCCAGTGAAACGCAACGTTCGTTTTTCAGATCAAAATGACACGTCTAACCTATGCTCTGACGGACAATCCCACATACTTGGAGCGGCTCCTACAATATTCAGCAGGTGAGAACGCAACAATTCATTAGTTCAAGGAACTGGCTTGATTCTGTCTCAAAACTCAAGAATGTTGTCAGAGCCATAAAAACGCGTGCTTTTCAAAACGCTTAATGTGTATTTTAATTTTGTACGTAGTGTGCTCTGTCCCATGAGAGAAGAAGCGTCCTCACCTGAGCGTGAGTACATAATAGAAAACATTAAATCAAGAAAACGAGAAATCTCTCTAGTGCTATGCAGATAAAACTTCGTGAATTCAAAAACACGTGTCGAATTAAAAAAGGTTCGTTTTTTTTTTTTTTTTTTTTTTAGAAAAATGTGACGAACCGTCGTCGCATTGTTTGCAGCCAGAAATGATAAGTCAGCACACATGTAAAATGTTGTTCGTATTGTTGCATAATTTAAGACCTATATAACGTTTTATAGAACACTGTGCTCAAATTTGCATAAATTTATGCATTTTTACGCCATACATGCTTATTCCATAAAATGATTGAAAAAATCGTGCAAGTAGTTCAAAATTACACAAAAGCATTTAGTCTGCACGTCGCAACGCAAGTCACCGCCGCTGTCCTTTGCAGACCCTCGAGTGCAGGACTGGCCTTTCATGGGCACCCCAGCATGGCCACTCATGACCACCGCCACCTACCTCTACGTCGTGCTGTGGTGGGGGCCGCGATTCATGAAGTCGCGTCCAGCCTACTCCTTCAAGACCTTCATTTACCTCTACAACTTTTCCCAGGTCGTCATCAACGCCATCATGTTCCATGTGGTGAGTACCCGAATATCTTATACGGATGCCAAAACGATGAGTCACCCGTCTCAATCAAAAAACAGTTGCAGTCTGAAATTTTTCTCGAAAGGCTCTGGAAAGTGACAACTTCGTAGTTTTGGGCTAAAATTTATCCGTTTTGGAGTAATTTTTAGTGCCGAAAATAAGGTTTTCTCGGGTTTTCTCATTAAAAGTAATTGTAACTTTGCTTGTGGTTTTGCTTCAAGGTTCTAACCAGTGGCTGGACAACCACCTACACACTTGGATGCCAGCTACCAGATTGGTCGGACAGTCGGGAGGCCATGAGGGTGAGTCATCCCCCTATCGCACGGTCCATATTCTATTCTCTCAACGTAAATCCCTTCCAATGTACATATCCCACTGTCGAAATTTTATTTTTGAAATCAAAATGTGCATTTCTATTACACTTTGCTGTAGTCGGACTTTTCGTTATTGGGTGAACTGTTGTTTTCAGTTATTTTAGTTAGTTAGGGTTAAGACTCCGGGTTTTAATAAAATGGAACGTAAATCCGTTGGTTCCCATTCCTAAAAATACCATCACATCGAAGGCTACTTATTCAGCACCCTCCCAAAGAGTACCTTGTCTAGTTAGAACTAAAAGAGAAGATGTCTGTTTGGTGGAGCGTAGCGTGTGCCCAAAATAAGTAGAGGCTTCGGCCCGTTAACTTTGTTTGGCGTAAATGAATGATGTATGGACGGGTTAAATGCTTCAATTTTACCTGTAGTAATATTTTCACAGTTTGAATTTGCAACGTCAAACAATGCTCCCGACCGAGATTTGGAGAGCAGCTTTTAGCCTGCGGTCGGCCAGCGCTCTCTTTATCTAGTTTTTCTCGGCCAGCTACCCATGGTTACCGCACTAAAGTTCCCGTTTGTCTAGATGGCGTCAGCGATGTGGTGGTGGTTTCTGATCAAGAAGGTCGAACTGATTGAAACGGTAAGATTAAGCCGGGCCTGCTCTTTCAAAGTATGCAGTCTCATTCCTGGAACGTGACATCATCACGTTAAAATGAATGTGACAAAGTGTCACGTCCCTTTGATCATGTGTCACATTCGTTTGGATGCAAATCGGCCGCAAATTAGCTTATTCACTTTCAAAAGAATGTGACACAATGCTCAAAGCAACGTGACACTTCGTCACATTCGTGTCAACGTAATGTCACGTTCCAGAAATGAGAGTATATGCACTTGAAAAGAGCAAATCTAAACTCATCCTTTGATTCCAAGGTTTTGTACGTCCTGAGGAAGAAGGACCGACAGGTGTCCTTCTTACACATCTATCATCACGTTTCTACATTCCTGATCACATGGACAGCCGCACGGTTCTGCCCGGGTAGATATTCCATCTCAGAGATGACCAGCAACCCATGTCCGACTCTTGGTGATAGCGTGTTTTGTTCTCCACCAGGCGGCTCGGTCACTTTTTCTGTGCTGCCGAACTCCCTCGTGCACGTCATCATGTACTCCTATTTCCTTCTATCCGCCATCGATAATGTGGCGTTAAAGAAGGTTCTATCCAGAGTCAAGAAGTACCTGACCACATTACAACTAGTGAGTAGAGAACACGCATCTGACTCTTACAAGAGAGGAGCATGCAATAACTGTTTGACGCCTCCTGATAGATTAATCCTAACAGCCAGAGTAGAGCCAAGACAATCCTAACTATCGGAGCAGATCGAAGACAATCCCAACTGTCAATGTCTATTCAGAATTACGTGAAAAGCGCTCTTTTCTCAAAGTCGGTGACGCCCGCTTACTTAATAAAATTACTTGACGAAGGGCCGTCCGCCATGTTCGTGAAGATTCCTCCTCATTGGCCTTGCTCAAGTCGCCTATTGGGATAGTAAAAATTTAAAAATATTTTTGGGTCACCCTCAAAATGCATACTACTAGATTGATGATTGCTGAAAGGAGTTTTGAAATTGCGCTTACTGACAATTCTGAATTCCGTCTTCTTCTTCTTCTTCGGGGCCTCAGTTCCCTGTCAGTACCCTTATTCGCTACCACACTGTCAGAAAATTCCGAAAAAAAATGGAAAAATCATGGAGTTTTTCCGAAACTTCTGCATGGAGCTCTCCATAAATGCAAATTCTGGGCTTTCTCCGAGAAATTTCGGAATTTTGAACAAAAATATATGCTGCACTATCACAAAAACACGAAAAAAAGGTTTGCAACCAGTTAAAAATTGAGGGAAGGGTAAACCCCTACTTCTTGAGCTCAGTTTTCATAATATTAAGGGAAAGCTACAGGATATAAGTCAAATGAGCTCGAATGAGATTGTCCCTTCTTTGACCATTTCAGACCAAAAAATGCTTCAGCGAAGTCCTCTTTAATATATCTGAGAAAAGACTTGCATTTTACCACCTATCGGAACCCAAGGAATGCTCCGAAGAACATCTGTATAAACCCTTAGAAAATCTCTCCGAAAAAAAATGGAAAATGAATGGAGTCTCCATGAACGTGATTATAGGGTTTTTCTCCATAAAATTTCGGAGCTAATTTCTAACAGTGCACGCTCTTTATTGTTGCAATGTTGCAGGTCCAGCTGACCATCATCATGTTGCATGCGGCGCAGGGATTTAGCGGGACGTGCCATGCCGCGCCGAAGCCGCTGATGTACTCCTTTGTTCCGAACATGTTGCTCCTCATCTACCTCTTCTTCAACTTCTACCGCGCCAACTACAAGCCAAAGAGTGTCTCTTCTTCTTCATACTCGTCAGAACATCACGGAAAAAAGATCAAATAGTTCCTACGGTCCCCTGGGCTGCTTCACGCTGCAGTGAGTCCGGCCGGAAAACTTGACTAGCACTTTGGTTACCGAGAGTCAACTTGAATCAAGCATCAGGCATGTCGAAGATATGAAGGCAGTCTTAAACATTGATTCTGGAAAACAAAAAATAAAAACAAAAGTTGAATCTTCTTATTTTTGAGAGCTAATTTGTATTAGAAACTAACCTAGCCTTTCTCCATTACGAACTCACATCGTTTCAGGATCACGAAGCTCTACTCAATACGTACGTTCTTAAAGTAAAATAACAAGACAAGCAGGGATCCTTAAATAACATTAAACTAATACTGCTCTCGTAACGTTACACAAGAAAAAGATAAGTAAAGGTTATGGGTACACTGAAAAAACAAATGCGGAGAATTCCGCATTTGAAATGCGGTTAAAGTAAGTGACCGCATGAAGTGATGCGGTCACCTGAATAGCCAGGATTTTGATGCAATTTCACCGCAGGAGTCATGCAGTGTAAAATTTAACCGCATTTCCTGATGCGGTCTCCATTTTGACCGCATGAACTGATGCGGAGTCCTACATTTCATGACAGCTAAACAGCTACACTCTAAATGTAGGGTGCCCAGTAACTGGGCGCCTTTGTCGCCCGCCCCACTTTTTAGGGTGCCAAATGTCGCCCAGTTTCTGGGCACCTTTGTCGCCCAGTCTCGGGGTGGACTAATCATGCAGTAACCGGCCCTCTACCATGGCAGAGCATGCACAGGTGTCTAGTTCCTGGGCGACTAAGGTGCCCAGATTCTGGGCACCTTTGGCACCTTAGTCGCTGCTGAGCCATGGGTGAAGGCAGGTTCCTTATAATTTGTCCAACCCAAGACTAGGCGACAAAGGTGCCCAGAAACTGGGCGACATTTGGCGCCCTAAAAAGTGGGGCAGGCGACAAAGGCGCCCAGTTACTGGGCACCCTACATTTAGAGTGTAGCGGCTGCTACCAACTTTCCGTCTCTTACTGGACAACCAGAAAAGGATGGCATGTACTGTGCCTTCTCATTTACTTATGATGCTTATCATTGACTAACCAACACATACCTTTGACGTTAATTTTTGTAACGCTGCGATGAGTAAATATCCTGTGTTTGAAACAGCAAGCCACGGAATAATAATTTTGTCTGTATAAAATGTTGATTGACACTGGATATTGTTCCAAATGCAGTATCAAACTATTGTTATTCATCACTTTAAATTATTTTTAGCCTCAAACTTCTTGGTGATAGCATTACTAGTTTCCATGAGCCAGGCTATGCTGTATGCAGGTAAGGTTAAACCCGCCGGCTGCTTGACTGAAGAATTGTCTGTGCTGCTGTATTTGAACAAGTCAACGCACACGACGCACTACAGCATTTCTTTGATTGAGGTTATTTCATAATTTCAGGGTCTGAGTCATTCCAAACCATTGTAAGAACGTTTTTAAAGGAATAATCTTTCAAATCATACTCTGACACTGTCACACACACAATCAACAACAATATAAATAAGATAAACAAACACAAAGGAGTGCCAACATAAGAAAATAACATCATATGAGTCAGAAAGTAAACTATAAAGTTGTTCTTTTGTGTGAGTCGTTCATCAAATTTTAAGTTTTAATAAACATACCATTCCCTTAAAAATCCCTAATATACATCCAAAGTTGGCTTTACTTTAACGCTAACAGGCTCTCAAGATCTTAGGTTGGCCCTACCATCTTCTTGTTGTTAGGTTTGTTTTGTTGTTCACTATGAAAGTGTGTGTCTTGAACTTTCTTTGTGTGAAAAAAACGAATTTTCAATAGTTGTGGATGTTTCAAAGCATAACATTATGAATATTACTAAAATACAGTTGTACTGTAGTGCTTCGCATGTGTCGACATGCTTCTATATTGCAGTATTGAAAATATTTCTGCCAAAGCAACCCGGTCACTTAACCTCAACCTAGCCCTGGACTGGACAGCATTGGATACCTCAGTGCTGTTCTCACCGAAGATTGCCGAGGACTTGAAAGATAAAAATAATTTTGAATTGTGTTTTCAAATTGTGTGACAATTCATCGCTAACAATATGCAGTTTCAATCATTGGTTTTTATTTAAAAAAAACTACTGCTTTTTAATGAGGCTGATCGCTGTTAACTTAACGCTCATCTCAGCGTTACAAACATCTACATGACAGAATGACAGGTATGTACTGGTTTCCCAAATAATATTGTTTAAGAAGTAAATGAGATGGCCAAGTAAACGTAACCGCTTTGAGGATGGACTGGGAAGGGAAGTTGTCACTGCTGTAGATATCGTGGGATCTTGAAATCCACCTAAACTAATGCGGTCAAAACTGAGACCGCATCAATTTGGCACACTCCGCATGAGTAAATGAAGTCAATCTTCTCCGCATCAGTTAGTGCGGTCAAATTGATAGAAAATTACACCGCACCAGATTGTGCGGAATCCTCCGCATTTGTTTTCTCAGTGTATGAACTGTGTTCCAAGTACTTCCAAATACGAATTTGAGAAGCTAGAAAAATAACCTATCTTTTTTAAGAGGAGTCATAAATTACGGGTTGTAATTTTAGCTCTGCCCTTTCGAGATAAGTAAAGGATTCCTGAAGAACAGTGGAGCTACGCCAATGAGAAGCCGAGGCCCGCAACGCGTTGTGTCCTTCCTTCCTTGCAACTACATCAGCTTAAGTCTAACCAAACATGTCCTCAGCCAGTTTCGTTACGAGCTCATTTCTCACATCGCATCGGTCCGGAAAATACCGCAACGTGCCGCGAGAACACGCCCTCGGTGCTATGCTGGTATCTTCGTATTTTCCGCATAGAGATGAATGCCACAGCAGCAAGGACCGACTTCCACTTAAAATGTGTCGGGATCGGGTGCCTGCTTTGATATCCTTTATGTTCCGTTCCCAAGTAACCACTTTGTCGTCCTACCCATTTCCGGGATTACCTCTGCAACGCGTCAGCGATCGCATATAAAATTTTTCGGGTCCAGACGAGTAATTTTGGAGGGCATCCACCCAGATTTGTAGTCCTACCTCGTTCCCGGGTGTTTTCGGAAGTTCGTATTGATGAAAGAAACACACAAACCGAGCGCAAATTCAGATCACACAGTGACGCTACACTCTACAAAAAATGTCCTGTCAACACCGTTAATTTATTACCAATGTTTGCTGTTATTCAATTCACGGCGTTTGCTGTGAACTAGTTCACGGCGTTCACTGTGATCTCGGTTACAGTGTTCACTGTGATCTGGCCACAGTAAACGCCGTGAATTGGAGCCGGATTTGCAGTACTTCGGTGCTCAGCGGCGTCAAACTCACAGTGTTTACTGGGGACCAGATCACAGTGAACACCGCGACCAAGATCACAGTGAATCCCGTGAGCAGATCACAGTAAACGCTGTGAATTGGCCTACAGTGAAAACTGGTAATAAATTAACGGCATTTACAGGACATTTTTGGTAGAGTGTATACCTCGTTTCCGAGAAGGTTGTGATGAGGTAGTCTCAAGAACTCAGCCAAGGATGAGAGAGCTTTGGTCACCATATATTTGCACATAAATTTCACATTGTTCAACAGCATTTTGCGTTCGGCCACCGTACGTATGAAAAATCCATTAAAAAAACTGATGGTTATGTTGCGTTCGTGCTTCTTTTGTCGGGGCTAGAACACGACTCTGAAGAACCTTTGATTTGAAGAAGCACAACCAAGTACGTAGCCACAGCTCCCATAACCTAAATACGAAAATACGGATGAATTCATAATTTCACCAATACCACTCAAATTGATAAATGTTATTGAGGTAGTATGAACGGAGTACGTAGAAGAAAATTTTGTCCTGCCATTGTATTTCATGAAAGAGATCGCACAAGCATTCAGAAGCTATTGGTGGACTCGCGTCCCGAAATCAAGGAAGCTCCGACCGCTGCAACTATGCGGCCGACCTTTTGAGCCCATTAGCCATGGAAGCACTTATTCCATGGCATAGTACGGTTGGGCAGGGCTGTAGGAAGTGGCAAAAGATCTAGGGAACTAGTACCACGGCAGTCACTATCTCATTGCGTTCCTACTTGGCCCATCATAAATATGACATCGATTTTGGACTGTTGAAAATGTACCTTCACTCTCACTCTAGGAACGTGACATCAAGTTGAAACAAATGCGACAAACTATCACGTTCCTTTGAGTATTGTGTCACATTCGTTTGAATATGAATAACCCAGTTATGATTGATTCACGACAAAACGAATGTGACAATGCTCAAAGGAACGTACAGTCTTCATCGGCAAAGAGTCGACCGGCAAAGAGTCGACTTAATGTGACGGTCCCCGCTTACGCGGCGGGGGCGAGCTCGAGCCACAATGGTTTTATGGCCCTCCCGAGCTCGGAGCACTACCGGAGCTTTTGTCTACCACCATGTGCTGTTTGGTTTTCGTGTCGGCAAAGAGTCGAAATCTGGTCCCGACCCGTCGACTCTTTGCCGATGAAGACTGTAACATGTTATCGTCACGTTAGTTTCTATGTGATGTCCCATTCCTGCAGTGAGAGTGTTTCTGCGAACACGGACCAAGCGAGTTTAAGGAGGCATTTCAAATCGCATTGACACTACCTTTTCAGCGCTCCTACTGCCCCAACCTGATACGCACCGAGACTGTCAAGGGAAGACCAAGTTCAAACATGCCGCATGCAGTAAAAGAGACGTTGTGGTGCATGAGCTGCATGGAAAATGCCTGAAGCTGAAACAAAGGACATAACCACCGGCATTATTTGACGCCCATGGCCAGATCAGATTTGGCTGGCCTGTGGACACATTCGGTCACGAGAGATAAAAAGGGGTCCTCCGTCTTACCTCCCTGTGGAGAGGACTGTCAAGCCGCACGTTGTTGAGAAACTTTCCCACGAGCGCCCCTGTCCTTTTTGCCTGCAATCAAACAAGTCACTTTACGAGGTTTGTTTCTTCTCTGGGAAAAACAACCAAATCGACTAAAAAATGACTATGGAATGAAAAAATGCACATTTTCAAATTTAAAAACTTCAAAAATTTGTAGCATTAAGAACAATTTGATTTTAAAAATTACTGAATAAATCTGTAATGTTCGTCGCAAGAACTTCCCCCCCGAAAATAGAAAGTCTTTCCATCCCAATGAAAGACGCAAGATTGGTAACGCTCCAAAAACTTTTCAAAGAATCAAATACATATTTCAGGTGGAATTTCAGCTTGAGAACTCACCACAGGTCTTATGACCAAAGTTTCAATCCTGGGGGATTTTTTTTCCAAGCCTACACTGAGAAAACAAATGCGGAGGATTCCGCACAATCTGATGCGGTGTAATTTTCTATCAATTTGACCGCACTAACTGATGCGGAGAAGATTGACTTCATTTACTCCTGCGGTGTGTGCCAAACTGATGCGGTCTCAGTTTTGACCGCATTAGTTGAGGTGGATTTGAAGATCCCACGATATTTACAGCAGTGGCAACTTCCCTTCCCAGTCCATCCTCAAAGTGGTTACGTTTACTTGGCCATATCATTTACTTCTTAAACAATATTATTTGGGAAACCAGTACATACCTGTCATGTAGATGTTTGTAACGCTGAGATGAGCGTAAAGTTAACAGCGATATCAGCCTCATTAAGTAGTTTTTTTTTAAATAAAAACCAATGATTGAAACTGCATTTTTTTAGAGATGAATTGTCACACAATTTGAAAACACAATTCAAAATTCTTTTTATCTTTCAAGTCCTCGGCAGTCTTCGGTGAGAACAGCACTGAGGTTTCCAATGTTGTCCAGCCCAGGGCAAGGTTGAGGTTAAGTTACCGGGTTGCTTTGGCACAAATATTTTCAATACTGCAATATAGAAGCATGTCAACACATGCGAAGCACTACAGTACAACTGTATTTTAGTAATATTCATAGTTTTATGCTTTAAAACATCCACAACTATTGAAAAATCGTTTTTTTACACAAAGAAAGTTCAAGACACACAATCTCATAGAGAACAACAAAACAAGCCTAACAACAAGAAGATGGTAGTGCCAACCTAAGATCTTGGGAACGTGCTAGCGTTAAAGTAAAACCAACTTTGGATGTATTTTAGGGATTTTTAAGGGAATGGTTTGTTTCTTAAAGCTTAAAATTTGACGAACGACTCACACAAAAGAACAACTTTATAGTTAACTTTCTGACTCATAAGATGTTATTTTCTTATGTTGGCACTCCTTTGTTTTTGTTTAGCTTATTTATTTTGTTGTTGATTTGTGTGATAGTGTCAGAGATTTGAAAGATTATTCCTTTAGAAAACGTTCTTGCAATGGTTTGGAATGATTCAGACCCTGAAATTATGAAATAACCTCAATCAAAGAAATGCTGTAGTGCGTCGTGTGCGTTGACTTGTTCAAATACAGCAGCACAGACAATTCTTCAGTCAAGCAGCCGGCGGGTTTAACCTTACCAGCATGCAGCATAGCCTGGCTCATGGAAACTAGTATCACCAAGAAGTTTGAGGCTAAAAATAATTTAAAGTGATGAATAACAATAGTTTGATACTGCATTTGGAACAATATCCAGTGTCAATCAACATTTTATACAGACAAAATTATTATTCCGTGGCTTGCTGTTTCAAACACAGGATATTTACTCATCGCAGCGTTACAAACATTTACATCAAAGGTATGTGTTAGTTAGTCAATGATAAGCATCAGAAGTAAATGAGAAGGCACAGTACATGCCATCCTTTTCTGGTTGTCCAGTAAGAGACGGAAAGTTGGTAGCAGCCGCTAGCTGTTTAGCTGTCATGAAATGTAGGACTCCGCATCTGTTCATGCGGTCAAAATGGAAACCGCATCAGGAAATGCGGTTAAATTTTACACCGCATGACTCCTGCGGTGAAATTGCATCAAAATCCTGGCTATTCAGGTGACCGCATCACTTCATGCGGTCACTTACCTAAACCGCATTTCAAATGCGGAATTCTCCGCATTTGTTTTTTCAGTGTACTTGCAAGGTGGGAGGGGGTCCCCTCTTCAGCGTGTATTCAGTACACACTTCGATATGTGTGCGTTGAGTGAGTACACACTTTAGAGCTCTATGAGTGTACTCGATAGTACACACTCCAGTTCTCAGTGTGAAACTTCAATTTCGTGCCGCCTTCGTTGCCTTTGGGTTCGCAGTGAAGGCCCACGGATTTAAAGATTGGTATGCCTACCTCATCCTTTGCCTTGGAGCAGTAAGTCACCAGCAAGAGCATCCGACTGACGTGGGCGAGCAGCCAGAAGAACTGGAGCACGACGTACGGCTCGCTGTTGGACAGCTGTCTCGGGCTGAGCATGAGAACGGAAGAGAAAAAGTAGGCCGAGATGACGGTGTGGAGCATCAGGTTCAGCATGTCGAGGAGGAGGACGGGGCCGTAGCGTTGCGACACGTTGGCGGAGCTCTCGCACAGGAGAACGTGAGCCTGCTCCAGGTGCCACAGGGGCAGTGGCATGGAACCTGCACACGGAAGAAAATCTCACTGGGAATGAATGGGTCACCGCCATCGCCCTTCCACCTGCATTCCAGGAACGTGACATCACGTTGAAACGAATGTGCACTCTCAGACCGCTGCTTAGCCGGGTTTACGCTCGTTTTAGGCCGGCAATAACGTAACGATTTTCGGTAACGTATGGTTTCCATCACGTGTGTTTTTGACGGGAGCATTTGCCGTCGGTTTATTTTACGGAAGACTCCTTATTTTACTGAGGAGGCCTCTTGCGTTATTTCGGGCCGAGTCGGAAGATCCAACGTGATGGAAACAAGGAAAGATTCTTAAAAAAATAAGGAATCCGACGCGCAAAATAAATTTTTGATCACTAGGGGGCCAGATTTTTTATGTACAAAAATTGGTTCGCGTTAAAGAGAAAAATGAAGAATAGAAAGACGTCCTCCTTTCCGTCGTTTGCGTTTCGTGATATGTTAGGTTGACCTGTACACGAACGTAAATAAGACGATGAGAGTACAAGGTCTTATTTCATGAACCTTATTTTACGGAAAAACCTTACGGCCGATCGTTACGTTATTGCCGGCCGAAAACGAGCGTAAACCCGGCTTTAATGAAACTTATCAACAAGAAATATCAGTTATGTGAATTACTTTGATGTTTTTTGTCACCGTCTTTATTTTCTCGAGAGGGGGCACGCTGCATCCACGCAACCTTGCCAGCCACGAGACCGGGTTTCCATTGGCCGCTGGGTAGAGGAACTTCTAAGTCTGGTGGCACACGCACTGAAAAAAAAGTGTAGTTAAATTTACCACACTGATCCTAGTTAAACGAGCATTAGTTGATATGACTAGAATTCTAGTCATTTTCACTAGATTTTTATATAGTTACATCTACCAGTATGGGTGTGGTAACATTTACCAGCCATCTAGTTAAAAATTCTGGTAGAATTTAGTAAACTGTTTTCTAATTGTCACCACACTTGTCAGCGCGCTTTGCAACAAACACCCGAATTTGGGCGTTAAAATAATCTTTCATTCTCAGTGACTGTCACGATTCGTTTGAAATGCTGAATTGTGGTCGCGTCACAATTAGGAGAATGCGAAGCGCTGATCAAAGGAACGCGAAACTTTGACATTCGTCTGTCACGTTCCTGATTTCCAGTATTGCCAACCGAAAACGAGTCTCCGTCGCACAGTGAGGCAGAACACCGCACTGTTAGAAATGAGCTCCGAAATTTTATGGAGAAAAACTCTATAATCGCGTTTATTAGACTCCATCCATTTTCCATCTTTTTTCGGAGAGATTTTCTCAGGGCTTGAACAAATGTTCCTCGGAGCATTAAGATGGGAATTAAAATGCACGTCATTTCTCAGATATGTTAAAGAGGGCTTCGCCGAAGCGTGTGGGCTGAAATGGCCAAAGAAGGGACAATCTCCTTCGAGCTCCTTTGAGTTATATCCTGTACGTTTCCCTTAGTATTATGAAAACGGAGCTGAAAAATAGAGGTTCGCCTTTCCCTCATTTTTTTGATTGGTTGCAAACTTTTTTTTTTCGTGATCTCCTGATAGTAATGCATGCAATCTTGTTCAAAATTTCGAAACTTTTCAGAGAAAGCCCAGAGTTTGCTTTTATGGAGAGCTCCATGCAGAAGTTTCGGAAAAACTCCATGTTTTTCCATTTTTTTTTCGGAAATTTCTGACAGTGGGAGGCCAGAACTATAGACGCGATTAGGGCTCCAGTGTCGTTGAACAGGACTCGAACCGAACGTGTGACCCCATCAATGGATTGCTCTCCGAACGAGGAATCCGTTGATGGGGTCATACTCTCGGCTCGAGTCCTGCCGTGCGACGCTGAAGCTCAAAACGCTTCTGGAGTTTAGGCCGCCTACACCGGTCTTCTGGCCGACTGTGCGACGCCTACCAGGCGTCCACGCAGGGCGTCGTCGGGCAGCGAGACATGCCGCCTCCAGGCGCGAGTTGAGGGTGCGGAATCGCTCGAAGATGGAGTGCGCACTGTCGGCGAACATGGCCTCCATGGTGTAGGTGAGGTAGTAGTTGGCCTGGCCCGTCAGGAAGAGCGACGCGTAGCCAGGGCCGCCGTCCTCCATGGCGCAAGCGACGTCCATGACGCCGACGCCCAGCAGCGCCATGAGGAACGCCAGCAACAGGACGGGCACTCGGGGGGCGCGCGACCGCAGGAGATCGTCAACCTTGAGTGTAGGGCTATTCGTCAGTGTTAACGCACTAGTGTTAGGGTCAGTTGGGGTAATTATGGGACACGGGGTAAAAATGGGACAGCTGTTTCTTGGTCAAGATTTGATATTTCAAAACACATATGTGTTTTGCATACCAAACGTGATGCTTTTATTGTGAAAATAACATTTGGTGTGGCACAAGTTCTAAAATGTCAAAATTTGATCAAGAAACAGCTGTCCCACTTTTACCCCGTGTCTTATAATTACCCCAACTGACCCTAACTTAAGGGGGCTCATACATGTTAAACACACTTTGTAAAAAAAATATTTTTGATGTAGATGGATCAAGATTTTACAATTTCTGTGTTAAACCCCTTTTAGATAATTGAGTAAGCTTCATTTTGGCTTAAAGGAAAGTGACTTTGGACATTTTTTGGAGATTTAGTCGAAACGTTTAAAATTTTGGTTCTCGTAAGATTTTGTTCGCATACTTGCTCAGATCTGTGGGGAAAAAATCAGGGAGACTCATCCCTAGTAGTGTCATAGAATTGACTACAATGGGCTTTATATCTGCAATAGTTTTCAAGAAAAAAAATAAAAACAATTTTTTGTTAAAAAATTTGTTTAAAAAATTGTTAAAAAAATTGTTTTTATTTTTTTTCTTGAAAACTATTGTAGATATAAAGCCCATTGTAGTCAATTCTATGACACTCTTAGGGATGAGTCTCCCTGATTTTTTCCCCACAGATCTGAGCAAGTATGCGAACAAAATCTTACGAGAACCAAAATTTTAAACGTTTCGACTAAATCTCCAAAAAATGTCCAAAGTCACTTTCCTATAAGCCAAAATGAAGCTTACTCAATTATCTAAAAGGGTTTTAACACAGAAATTGTAAAATCTTGATCCGTCTACATCAAAAGAAAATTTTTACAAAGTGCTTTTAACATGCATGAGCCCCCTTAAAGATAGTCTCTTTTTTCACTTTGAGTGAAATTGGGGGCGAGAGATAAATGATTGAGGAAGCGGAAGAAGGGATAGGAACTTGGCTCTTGGCTTATCTCTGAACTGAGTTTAAGACGTACTATTGTGCCTGAGAATGGTTTATATAAACATCATAACTCTAATTTCTTTGACTCAATTCCTGGCAGTTGAGGAGAAAAATCAACATGGAAAATGGATATAACTCAACTTGACCCCTTATACACCCTCAATTTAGCGGAAAATGGAAAAAAATCAATCGAGACAACATGACTCCGTTGAAAATTATGTCGGTAGGAGATGAAGAAATCCTCTACGGAGTCACCCAACGCTTCTGTTGTATCTCAGTATTTAATTTATGCTTCTTGAACTTTATCATGTACAACATTCATTCGTTCAGTTTTAGTTTTCCCTGCTTACAGTTTTTGTGTTTCTCCTGAAAAATGGTCTAAATGGAGTTATCCCCTTCTTCCGCTTCCTGGATCAAATTCACCTGCACTTCAGGTAACGTCCCAGAAGGTCATATTCCAGGATGCCGCGCACGATAAGATATTCTGAATGAGACGCAGTGCATTGTTACCATGTTTGACCGCTTTATGGATTGAAAGTGATTCGAACAGTCCTATGCTGGTTCAAAGAAATCCGCGGACATTGAAACGAGCTTCACATTGCTCTCTCACACGATTAAAAGTGTAACATCACATTTTTTGCATGACAGAAGTGAATGAAACTTGCTCGCATTTACCGAACTTATCTGCTCAACGAATGTGGCAATGTGTTCTCGCGCCAACCAGGCTTGAATAACGGCCATATTGCCGCACAGCGTGATGAGCACCAAGTCGCATGTGGTTACCACCCTAGGAAACAAATTTTCAATTAAAATATCTCTTGTAGGTTACGAACGTAAAAGTAGTGCCTTTTAACTAAATCAGCCAGTTCATAGCCCGTCTTTAGGTAAGACATGCTATAAATAAGTGTGCACATGGCAAGTAAACTTACTTGCGACCATCCTGCTCCACAATAGGGTACTTTCGTAGATCCCTGAACGGGAAGCACACAGACGCCATGTTGGCGGAAGTAGATCCAAACTTGACTTGGGAAAGATACGTTAGTCAAACGTATCGGCCACACTTGAACATAAACAGTCGTTTGATACTTGTTTGCAGTGCATATGTGTTTCGCGAGCAATATTTGTACAGCTCGGCTATAGATTTAGATCCGAAGGGAGGTTAGTTTCCGGCCAATTTGGCGTCTGCTGGTCTGCTTGCTTCCGGTGCAGGATCTACGAAAGTACCCTATAACACAGGCACATGTCATAACCCTTTTCTATAGCATGCCTGTCAAGCAGACAATAATAAGCGCCAAACTTTGAAACGGTCGAATGGGAGTGCCCCCTCCAGCCGCTGTACAGATTGATCCAAAATGCTCTCTACCTTCTTAGTACACGCGTTATTGGTTTGACGGATTTAATAGAAAACGAATGAAGACTGTCAACTTGGGTGCACACACTCTTGAGGATTTTGAACGCGTTTAAACCCTAACGAAGTATTTTGAACAAATATAAGGTACAAACTATTTCGTTTGTTAATGCGAAGAAATACTTCGTAAATTTCGAAGTATTTTCCTTGTGTAAGCTTATGTATGCTCAAAATACTTTGTTAAAACTAGCTACTTTTCTTTGTAAGGACTAAAAGACATAGTTTGTGAGGTTTTCGGAGTGAACCTGTCGGTTTTGGTGGCCATGTGGGGACTAGTGTTGCGCAAACTGCGCTGAATGTCCTCGTACAACGACACCATGCTGCACGGCACGAGCACCAGGACCAGAATTGCGGAGTATGCGGCCCACGTCCTCGAAGGCTGCAAGGCGTCCTGGACGGTGCATCTACATCGTCGTTCCGGTGGGGCCTGCTGGAAAGTAAGTAAAAAAAATGGAACTAGTTTCTGGAAGTCTGACGAGGCTACCGGTTTGCGTTCATCATATCAAAACACACAAAACAATTAACGAAGGATCTGTTTTAAGACTAAAAACAAGAATCAGTTTTATAACTACTAACAAAGTGAAGTGTTGTAGAATTGCTTCTTATTTTACGATTCAGAATCGGTGGCTCGAGGGTCGTTTATACGGACCGAGAGTGCGGTTTAAAATTTTGCCTCGTCCGTTGCACCCACCTGCTCTCTCCCACCAAACACGGTCTCGGTCGACACAACGTGGATTCCTTCGACGGGAAAACTCTTGTTTAACTCCTTGTATTTGACATTGCAACGGCAAGTCCCGAAAGTCATGGGAATCTGTCCCATGATTCGCCCCAGGGTCCACAACCTGAAGCAAGTAACTAAATAGTAGTATTCACACCATATTTGGGCCTTGAAACGGACAAAAAGCTAGGTTTAATGGACTAAATACATTGCACAATGAACAAAATTGTGCATAGCTAAAGAAAAATTAGTACATGTAACGTTTGCACAGAAAACTTTATGGCAAGAGATATAAAGTCAATACGAGACTGAGAGTGTGATAAGCAATACGCAAAATCAAAGTAATTCTGTTTATATACTTGTGCTCCGGAAGACCAGTTCAAAAACATTTTTACCCAATATTTATCTCTAATGGTCTTTTTTGAACCTTTAGGGCAGGTCAGTGGTCGCAGACTTTAGACCTCAGACAAAACGACAAACCAAAGGCAAATCGTCGAAAAAAAGATCAAATAATTATTTGACGCGAAAGCGCATTCCCTGTGGCAAAGAGGTACGGAAAGTTCTGTTATTTTATTTTTTTTGCCAAGATTCTCCGTAGCCCTCTCATCAATACGGAGAAGACTGTACGGTCCTTCGGAAAACACTAAGGTCCTACGTAGAATATTGAGAAGGGGGCTACGGAGAAAACCAGAAGCTGTTTATAGAATTTTCCGTAGCTTCTTGTCACGGTGATTGGATTGGGTACCGACTTTGCCAGCGTACTCCCCTTAAATATCCATCCTGCCCTATTCCGTGGAACATTCATTCCCCGTCCTACCAACTCTCCCATTCCAGGGGCGTGACATCACGTTAGAACGAGGGTGACAAAATACCGCGCACCAGTCTCGCTTTACTTGCACAAAATCCATGCTGGCTCCGTCGGCGGCCACCGTCCACGGCACGTCACTGATAGAGGGCTAGAATTGTTCTCGCTGTCACCGACTAGCGCGGCCGAACTCATTGGCTCGATGCCGCGCCCAAACACTTCGGTGCGCACCAGCTGACTGACAGGCCGGGAACGAGCGTAGTTGAACTTCCTGCCACCCTGGTCAAGGTCGCGTCGACTGACATTAAGGAGACCAGCTCGCCGTTGAGTCCTTGGAAAGAAAACAACGCCTGACAAGGGTGCCGAAAGAGGAGGGGAAGGGGAACCCCTGCCTAGGGTGGTTGTAAATTCCGCAAGTAAATGGTACCGACTAGGAGCGCTCGATCTCCGAGGATGATCTACAAAAGAACCCCTCTGCCAAATTTGAGCGAATTCGAACAGTATTTAGGAGTTGCGCAGCGGCCTCGAAGTTTTTCATACTAGATTTCCGTAAAATATGCTGAATATCCAGTAAGGAGGTCGCAATCGACTATGACCTATAAGACCTTTTCGACTCAGAATATCAAAAAAACATATACCTGCGTGATTTCTATACAAAATTGTCACATTTTGAAAACCGACTTCTGCCAGGGGCAATTTAAGAAAAATTTTGACGGCTCCACAGTTTCCAGATTTATTTATTTCAAGATGAAATTCTGTTTACAATTTAAAAATTCTAATAATCATCACACTTTTTTGTGGGCCCTCCGCCCTCCCCCTTTTCGAGTGACAACAAACGCGCTGTTTGTCGGACATTTTAATCCGGAAATGAAAACTCGCGAAGCCGGTGATCTTCCGATTCCGGCTCGCTGGTTTAATGAGTTGTCATCCGCATCTTCCCCGTTTTGCTCGCTCGCGAGCTAGAAGTGTCATTTTTCGCACTGCGTTTTTCAAGAAGAAATCGCTTAGGTTACGCTCAACTAGACAGTGTTTTCGTCAGTTTAGAATAGAGAAGCAGACGCAAGTTTTCCGAGGGGGCAACCACTCTAGAACTCTTGTGTCCCCTTAGCGCCATAAATCTCTGGGAAATCAGAAATCTTGCCCCAAAAAAGGTCAAAAACAAGGTAATTTGGGTGGAATATCGGTTGAAATCTTGCGAAATCCGACGAAATCTCTATCCTTAAGAAATCTTGTGTCCCCAAACATCCAATGTGGTTGCCCCCTCGAAGTTTTCTCCCTTGTCACCCGAAAGTACGCCTGACGCGGTTGGGCACGAAGGTAGTTAGACCGTTCGATACTTAGCTGCCACCCTCCCCCAATCCACTCGCCCCGGCCGCGTCAAAGACCCTTGAGTGATCGCTCACACTGTTGCTCACCAGAGACAGTGGACGTAGTTTGCCTAGTATTGATTCTGTGAGAACCCAAACGCTACGAATATAGCGTCAATTGGTGCAATGCAAAAGCATTGCACATGAAGTGCAATGCCTTCCCATGCCCATGCATCATCATAGGGCATTTTCAGGACGTATTGCATGTATGGTGCGATTTCTCAATGCATTGCACCATTCGTGCTATATTCATAGCGTTTGGAATCTCAGTGTTGTTTGAAATGACAAACCCCCTCCTCTCCAATGAATTTTCGATTCATTCAGTTTGATCAACATCCCGCATGAAAATCTTTTTCCGAAGCGTAACTGTTATGGATGGCAAATCGCTTCCAATCCTCAACATTTAGAAACTTGGTTCAAACGGTTGTTTTTCATGGTCTTGAGCAAAGAAATGCCTTATGCATTGACTGAAATCTCCAAGGCAGAATTTCAACTTTCAGATTGGAAATGCTGTTGCAGGTGCATTGATGAAGGAAGTAAAATGTGGCAAGAATGTGACTTGTAACGTAGTCGCTTTATTAAAAGAAACACAAATGACAGAAAAGGTTGTTCGAAATATTCACTGCTCTGTGAATGCTCCTCTGTTCTCAAACACAGAACTAGAATAATAAAAAAGGAATCACTAAAAATAACACTGTTGAGTAAAACAGCTAGACACGCTTATTCAGAATAAAATCTCCGAAAGGATCTTTTGCCAACGAATCCTTGTCTCTTTTGGAGAAGAGGACGTCACCAATCGCCTTGTTCAGTTCGCGCACTCCATCCTTCCACGTGGTGACGTAACGAACCAGATCCTGAAACAGCACAGACACTGTTAGAAGTGGTGATTGTTGAAAAACAGGCCCTTCTTTCTTCCTATTTCGTAGAAGCGGGCAAGTAGTGCCGCCGCACAGAAAAAAAAAGTGAATTAATTTTCATTGCATTGTAGGGAAGCCATAATCATTACAATGTAATCAGGCAACTGCCATTTCGAGGGGTCACAGAGCGAACTCACCTCAGAGTGCTGGGACGCCAAGTTCTTCTCAGCCGTCCGCAAACGAGAAAGCACTAGCCAGCGCAGCTCCACCAGTGTAGTGACGCGGTGCCTGTTCGTGCCGGGCATCAGCCGGTCCAGAGCTTGCAGTTGGGCGCGCGTCACCTCCTCCCAACGTTCCATGTCACCTGCAACGTTTAACAGTTATCTTATGACAACACTGAATGTTTATGCACTTTTATTGTCCACAATTGACTACGGCCGTATTTCTACAGACACACGAAATGTTATGTACAATTCTGGACAAGACATCACAGTTTTTTTTGTGCACACGAAATTTTCGTACAATTTTCGTAGGAGAAACTGCACATTATTCGTCATTTTTGTACAAAATTGTACAAAATTTTGTACAAGTTTGTACGAGTTCGTGTGCACACACAACTTTGATGTCTCGTACAAAATTTGTACAAAAACATTTAGGGTGTGCGCAAGCTATGTAAACTTTTAAACGTAAATTAGGGAGAAGATTTCCATATTGTGCTAAAGTATTTATACACTGCAAATAACATCGAAAGACTTCGCGCCAAAATATGGCGAGACATAAAAACAAATCTGAACGAGGTTTGTAGAACACAGTGGTTTTGGTTGCCTCCTATGAGTGAGAAATCACCGTGAACTCGCGGTACAGCCCGACGGCCATGTTTTATTTCAAACGTGTCATGCTACACCGTGATTCTCGAACAAAAGCCCAAACCGGAACCAGACCAGGAAAAGTTATAATTATAGTGCCTTTAGAGTATTATATGAGTTCAAAATTAAAAGGCCTACGTGAGAAGCCATTTCGAGTACTCACGCTGGTTAGCTCTGCCTCTTCGCTTGAAGCTTTCCCTGATGTACTCACGCGCACGCAACACCACTGCGTGAGTGGGGTGCAGCGGGCCGCGAGGGTACAACTGCTCCGCCACGAAACTCAGCAAAGAGTCTGGCGACGAATCTGGAAATAAGGATCACGAGTAGGAGAAATTCAAAAATGTCTTTTCTCCTGCAACCGCAATTGTAGAAGACACTCTTATCCCAGGAACCTCACACCACGTTGAAACGAATGAGACAAAGTGTCACTCAATCCGTATTTTATCAATATTCATTACTTATTGTGCACATTAATGGACTGTAATTTAACTAACAGTTTATTTGTTTAACTGATTTGATCCATGGAGCGGAAGAAGGGTATAACTCAATTTACATCACTTTTCAGGAGAAACAGAAAACTGCTTGCTGGGTAAATTTAAACTAATCAGATGAATGGTACAATTGCATTTTTGTCATGAAGGTCTAAGAAATAACTGTGAAAATTTTCAAAAGTGTAGCATCACTCTGTGGACGGTTTCTGTGATTTAAATCTTTGCGTTGGAATGGACTACAGAACCCTGTTAACTTAGTTCTCCCAAACAAGGTGGAATTTAGAGCCAATTTAAGTGGAGCTGAGGTCTGCATAGAGTCTGTATTTCTGTGGTGCAGTTTTGGAGTTACCTCTTTTTTCCAAATTGTGATGGGGAGTAAGTTGAGTTGATTCCAATTACATTAGATTCATAAAGACACAAGAAGAGTTATCTCGTTTTGCTATTTGGTGCAATGGAGTTATGTGGACATCGGTTGGGTTAGGTTAGATTAGGTTGCCCAATATTGGAACCCAAGGGTCATTTTATGGGAAATTTCATGCTTTTTCAGATGCATTTTACCGATTGGTAAAAAGTTAAAAACTTTGGCAGCAATCGTGCGCGCAGTGACACCATGTAATTTTGCAGACCATTTTTGCATAGAACACAAAACATCCTAATTCAATGCTAAAACAAAATAATTTTTTTTCAAAATGTTGTAAAAACTTCCCTCTTTAAAATGGTACCTGCCGTATGTCTCTGGCATTCATACTTATCTTTCTATTAACGTCTAAACAGGAGGTTCGAAAATCGTCAAAATACGTGCAAATAACGCTACTGCCCCCTTAAGAATTGGGTGAAATAAATTGGTGTAATGATTCAAACCATCTTGAGGCACAATTATAAGATGAAAACTCAATTTGGAGATAAGCCAAATTATTTCCTTCTTCCGCTTCATGGATCATGTGTCAAGACGAAACTGATAGTAATGATACCGAATGATACTAAAACGAATAAAAATGTTAATATGCTCATTATGTCCAATAACGGCTGTACTTACGTTATTCAACAAAAAAAACTCGGTACTAGTCTGAGAGTGCGTCTTACCCTTCTGCATGAGCTGCTCCAGCCGATTCCTTGCCCCTTGGGAGACTGCTTCGACCTGGGCCACCGTCATCTGGGCACCGCAACCGGTGCAGGACCAGCGACGGTGCTTGTCATCGTCAGGCACCACCAAACACTTCTTCCCGTTTCCTGCACACATGAGGGCGTTCTTTGTAGCGGAAATTGCGCGGAGCTACGGTGCGTTTTCGCGTTTTCATGCAACAACGCCGACATGTGTGCATATCAATTAAACAACGCAACTACATACTAAATGTTTTTGTACTAATTCAGTACGAGACATCACCGTTTTTAGTGCACAAGAACTTTTCGCACAAATTTGTACAAAATTTTGCACAATTTTGTACAAAAAGGGCGAAAAATGTGGAGTGTTTTAGACGAAAATTGTACGAAAATGTCGTGTGCACAAAAAACTGTGATGTCTCGTACAAAATTGTACATACCATCAAGTGTGTAGCTGAGATCGCACTCTGCAAACCTTACTATTTTAAACAATAGAAACATAAGTTTTGATCTGACAAAGTATTTTGAGCATACATGAGCTCAGGCAAACTTTGTAAACATTAAAAATGGTTTCTGGTTTTACCAGGAACTTCCTGGAAATCGCGTTTGTCTCTACCGCAGACTTCCTGAGGAAAAAAAAACAAAAAAAACGGAACTACGCGTTTTTACCGTGTGAGGTTTTTAGCGTGCGGACCATGCAATTGATTTGAAAACAAGTAGTTGCACGTTATGCCAATTTTTTCTAGAATGTATGACAAAAAAGGTCTTTATTGCCCAAAATGGCGGCAATAGAACGTAAGGGATGTTGAGCCCCTCGAAAAGACTATCGCGTGAACAACCAAAAACATCAACAATTGGCCATTATGAAATTTTGTGAAAGAAAACCCTTGAGTTTACCACATTTTGGAAAAACAATTTCGAATAGAGTTTCAACCTCTCAGTTGACCTTGTTAGATAGCCCAAGTTAGCAGATAGTGCCTTTCCATAGCCAGGCAGACCGCTCTCACATTTGAACGACTGTGGCAAAAGCACAACCTATGAAACACGGGCGATAAAAAGTTTCCTGGAGTTGGCTTACCTGAGCAGTTGGCGCAGCAGGGAGACCCCACGTACATGCCGAGTTCTGTAGGATCACGGCAACGCACGCAGTCACAGTCGAGGCCCCACTGACCGGCAACAACCCGACGGCGCTGCAGTGTCTCGTCATACCATTCACAGAACTGGCGGAAAGTCCAATCATTAATAAAGATTCATCCTCCATTCACAGGCAAGAAAATGCGAAACGCCCCCTAGGAATGGACGAACAACCTCAAGCTACCCTAACCGAAGAGTGTAACTACAAAACAAAACAAAAAATCACAAAACATGAAATCAATTCTGAAAATTTCGTCCTATTGATCTTTTGAACTTTTTAAACCCTGAGCGGGTGCTCGTCATAGACTAGTTTCGTTTCTCTCTCGCGAACCGTCAACGTGGCCTTGCCTGGTCAGTGCAGATTCTTACCCGAACTGGATCGGTGAGATGTTCCCCAGCAACAACGTCCCTCGTTGTAACTACGACGTACTCATACGTCTCCGGGCTCAACAATTTTTCACCGGTGTTGGGAAAACAGCTGTGTTTCCTGAGGGACATCCCAACGTACAGGCCTGAAAAGTAAGTCTGGAACAAACAAATAACAAATACTTAAGTCAGGAATAGACAAGTTACAAACATTGAAGCCGGTAACAGATAAGTAACAAATATTAAAGTCGGGAACAGACAGGTAACAAATATTTAAGTCGGGAACAGATACGGAACAAATAATAGTTGGTCATATCTGTTCTTTTATGGCCCGCCCCTTTATTCGAAAAATAGGGGGAGAGCCTATGCATTTGCCTTCGTGTCTGTGTGTCGTTGTCGTCGTCTGTAAGGAGGGAGTTGAGCTAGAGTTCCCAAATTTGGAAGGCACTGTAGGAGTGCCTTGGATCTTCAAAAAAGGGATCGATCGACTAAAAGATTTTATTGTGGTTTTCGATAGATCTCGCTAAGACCTTTCCAACGAGTGGTATGAAGGGGGGTCTACGAGCCCGCCTTCGGCAGTTATCACGATCAGTATCTTCGAAAAAGGGGGTCGACCGACTGAAAAATATGTATTGCAGTTTTCACAGTAGAAACGGTTCCTGGTTTTCCAAGGAACTCCATGGAAATCACGTATATCTCTACCATAGGCTTCCTGGGAAAACCAGGTACCGTTTTTTACTGTGTTCGATAGATCTTGCCAAGACCTTTTAAACGAGTGGTCGGAAGGGGGGTTTACGAGCCCGCCTTCGGCAGTTATCGCGATCGGTTATCCCTATCCACAAAAAAGAGGGTCGACCGACTATAAAAATTTGTCCATATTCGGCCATATTTTAAGTAGAAGCGTGGGCCTTGGTCACGATGATACATTGATAACTTTGTGTTATACTCTAAATGTCTAACAATGAAATTTGACCTGTGTTATTCGTATGTTACAGTGAATTCGGCGCAAGCATAATACGAAGCAATATTTCTTCGTATAACGAATCTTTTTCGCTTTTACATTGTAACATACAAAGAAAAACCTTCGTAACACGAAGAAAAACCACCTTTGTATTATGCTTGCGCCATTTCCTTCGTATTATGGGAAATTTCTCCGTAAGACATTTAGAGTGTACCACCTCATGGGGTGTCCGATGCGAGGGCCGAAGGCCCGAGGAAAGATCGCCGGCAGGCCAAGCTGGGCCGAACCGAATTGCCGGCGCAGCGAAGCGCTTCGCTGCGCCGGCGGAGGGGCGGGCCCTAGCTTGTGTCGGTTCCATAAACTCACACAGTGAGATTCGTGGACGTGACGAATTGGGTCGGTGCGTGGGGCGCTTTGGTGTTGAAAATGCCTCAAAGATAAAATAAGCAGCATTTCATTGTTCACTGTAGGAAAAACCCACGGGAAGAGGTACAGGCACCGTCTGGTGGACAATTTGCCTGGTACCACTGTACCTCAGCCAGTACTGGCTGAGGTACGATGCCTCCATGCATGCCTTGCATTTCGATAAAAGGAATCTGAGCAGATGAGAGCAGATGAGTAGCGGGATGATGCAATTTTAACTAGATCCGACTGTGGTACAATTTTGTGTCAGCCAGGCGGGACGAGGACGAGTTGTCTGATGAAAGTACAATTTGCAGCAGGCGTTGGACACGGAATGTGTCGTCAGACGGCAGAAAAATTGCATCACCGTCCGGATCAAATGTGCTTAAAATTGCATCATCCATGTGCCAAAAATGTCCCATGACATTTAAGGTGAAGCGTAAACAAATAGTGCTTACAGAGGATAACACAACGCTTCAGTTCTACCGGTGAAAATGCAAAAATGAACCAAGTGTCGTGTTGGAGCGCCCTGAACTCCCTTGCAGTGGCCAGTGGCCGGTGTTCATACCTGCGATATCTGTGTCCGTCCGGTCACGCCCTGCATGTCTGCCGAGTACAAGGAGGTGATCAGAGCGCCCATCCGCAAGTCTGCTTCCGACAGACGGACGCCGACAGTCCGGCGCAGATACTGCAGCACGAAGTTACATTCGATGTTCATTGCAGCCTTGAAGGGCGTATTTAGAGACCCCTGCGAACAATGCAGAGTGTTACAACGTATTCAAAAATAGACGATGAAGCCTTTGCCGTCGAGCAGACGATTCAAGAGGGAGCAAGGTACACAGCGACTGATCATCAGCGCTGTTAGGCCTCAGCAGACCTAGACCTCTAGCGTTCGAGTAAGCAACTACAACAAACACAGGACTCACACTGCAAACCTCACATGCGGGCTGTGTCTTATGTGAGGCAGTCACCCTCTACTTGAGGGTACGCGGAGCAACTTCCGTGGAAGTATTACCCATCCCAGTTTGATGAAAGTGAGGTTCGTTGCCTTTTCGTGTCTTCCTTTTCTCTCTTTATGCAGGATTGTGCATAAAAAAATGCACACTGGTAAAACTAAACCGTAACTCTATGCTTGATATCACCCAAGGAAGCTGCATGCCAAATTTGGTCAAGATCGGACCACGAGAAGTCCTCGGACGGACGGATGAACGGGTGCACGGCATGCATTCTATACTATATACCCGTCCCTCCGATATATTTTTTTACAGAAATACGCGGTACGGGCCCAAAAGGAACCAAAAGTATCATTCTTTCGATTTTAAGGGGGGACCCTGGTGAAAAAATCGCCAAAATTCCAAAAAATAGTATTTTCAAAGTTCATAGATAAAAATGTGCATAGAAGGTTTCAAATTCAACAGGTTGAACACCTTTAAGCTAAGTGGGTAGTTTCTTTATCATTTGGAAGGATATAACATTGAGATCAGTTGTCGTTGGCTTCTACGCTCAACTTCACAGCATTGCTCAGTCGACAAAAAAATTTGTCGTAGAAAGACTTCCTGCATTCCTGGTTGACACCTACATGAGTCGTCTTGCATGGACTCTATTCATTGATGACTTGTCGACAAATTTTAGTGACGGAATCTTGATATCAGCCCTACTTTTTTTTTAAACACACCTAAAAGTTTGAAAAAAGGGGAAAAAATCACTTTTTAAATTAATGTTGAAATTTGAAAACTCATATCTCAGGACAGAAGTTGAATTTGAAAATTCCGTCACTAAAATCTCTTCTATACATCTTTAGGATAACCCAAAAAAAAATTCAAGACTTTCCGTCCCAATGAAAGACGCAGGAAGATTTTTCTCCAACGCTCCAAAAAACACTAAAAAGCCACTTTACTCAGAGACCGTTGAACATTTTGGGTTGAATTTTGTTTGGGGAACTCACCTTAATGAACCTCATAATTAAGCAAAGTTTCATCTTTCTGGGATTATTTTGAAGCCTACTTGAAAGTTTCACCAGGGTTTCACCAAAGTTTCACCCTTAAGTGGTGTCAGGCAACACAGGCATGTGAGCGAGCCAGGCACATGGCAGGTTCTACTCGTTGAAGTGGACATGCCACGCCACGCACACGACCGAAGGGTGAATCACTAGTGTACTGTGTACAAATTTCCCCATTCTCAGTGTACTCACAATTTTTAAAAGAGCAAAATTCGCTCATCTTTTACACGATTTGGCGTTGTGCGTCGTCTAAACCGCTAAATAAAGCCAAAAAACGTTTAATAATGTGAAGTTTATGAGTGTGAGAGGGTGTACTCACACGTACTCATGTACTCATGTGTACACCGGAACGCTGAGTGATTCACCCCTCGCACACGACTGAGTTTGCAGAGTAAAGCAAAAAGAACCTGCATAATTACGCATACCAATTTACGCTGCAGATGCTGCAGCAGTGGGTTGTCGGGAATAGCCAGCGTGGTTCGCAAAATTGCCACAGCACGCGGAAATAGAAACTTCGTGGCAAGTGCAGCTGAGAACAGAGAATTGAAACAAATTAGAGGTGATTTGAGTCCCACCTTCGCACACAGAAACCCAAAGCGTGCACTCACGTACACACTTAAGTTTTCAGAGCAACGCAACAAACTGAGCACGAGCATTTACAACTACACACAGAAAATGACCATTTTAGGCAAGCCTTAAATGCAGTCCCAGAGTGAGGGAAGCCGTAAGCCTGTTTCGGGCGTGAGACCGAACAGGGAAGGAGCTCAACACATTTCACCAAGGACAAGCTCACCTGTGTTGCACCATGATGAAATCTTCAAGGTTAGAGTATCGCTTCACAATTATTCTAGCTTACGTCTCTTTTCAGTAATGTATTTGTCTCAACAAGAAAAATAGAATGCATGCATGCTACAGGCTTGAATAAGAAACGTAAACGCTATGAGTCCATAAACACTTCTCAAGCTCTTGTCTTTCTCATCCATGCATCAGGCGTGCTGATATTTTATGTTTTTGCTTTTGGAAACAAATTCTCAAATTCATTTCTGTGCATTAATGCTCATGGACAGGCTTTGGCTGAGCGGAGCACCCTCCCTCACGGGGGCCACACTTTGGCCAATAACACATGATAAACGTATTTTATTTTTTATTTATTTTAATTTTTTTTGAGGGGGAGGGGGTCATTCCAGTTCTAAAAATATATGTACACGCTTAGAATCTTACAAAGAATTTTCAGCATACGCAGTAAACTAAATTACTTTGTCGTGAGAAAAAAATTTCGTAAAATAAGAACTATTTTCTTTGAAACCTTACGTATGCTAAAAGTACTTCGATATATGAAGCCACTATATGAAGCTATGAAACAACTATGTGAAGCTAGTAAGGCTTAAATGGTCTTAAGGTTTTCAGGGTGTATGTATATATTTTTTTTCGTTGTATTTTTTTTTTTAAACTGGAACATCAAATAATAGTGCTGTTGTTACATTGACAGCAAAGCCAGTTTAGAGTCCTTAAATGCCTAGTCAGATCATTGCATCGTTCATGGACAAACGCTATTCCAGCCTTGACAGTCCAAACGTGAACGTACCCACGGGCACCTTGTACTTGGCGCGCTGGAACTCCCGGCACTCCGCCTGATGGTCCCAGGACTCGCTGCACTGCCGGCCGCACGCAGGCAGCCCGCACTTGGAGCACTGCGGTGGCGGGTTCAGATGGCTCATGTCGACGCCACACTCCACACACAAGAGCTGCAATCACAAGCAAAGCATCGCAAAGATGTTTCGCGAACTATCCACCAATACACTGCTCGCGCTAACTGTTTAGGCACAATTGTAGCATTAGTTTGAACCTGTGCAACGTTTTTTTTCGCATTAAATTGTGGTATTAACATTAGTTTTTACATTCCACGTATGCATTAAATCGTGTAAGATACACATAAGAAAATCCACATAGACATTTGGTATGCACCAAACTGAAATGTTAAACAATTTGGGGGGGGGGGGGGGGTTACTGAGCGATTCTCACGTTTCGGGGTAGTTTTGGCGTCTCTGATTTGCCGAAAGTGAAAAATATCCAATTAAGTTTTTCTGATTATTGGGGTCCTGGATGATACTAGAGTTATGGCAATGGTATTTATAGTAAAGACCTTGTACTACCTTCCTAAAAACATGAGCCATAAGGTATTCCCACACGTTTTAGTGGGTGTTTTGATCACGGAAATTACGTTATCACGGAAGTTACAAAGTGTGAAAATCGGCTTTAACGGCTGACTCGGGCTTGCTGTGGCTTAAAGTCGTTCCAGGGTCAAATGATACTCTAAGCCCGACATTTCAGCGGAAAATTTTTTCACCTAGTACTGCTGCAACATT